TACATACATACATACATACATACATACATACATACATACATAGAAACAAACAAACAATTGGACACACCAAACTTGTGGATTATATTATAGTAAGGATCGTCAGCATAGGAAGGGGATCGCCACGCACATCTTTAGAAATAAATTTTTTCACGGCGATTTTCTGGAATCAATCTTCCACTGTTCTTTTATTTACCCTCCCCTGGCCTCGAACATCTATGAAATCCCAGCCCGTCTCTGCAACACTAGACCAAGTTCGAGGTCATGCAAGGAGATTGTCTCGAACTGCTGCGCTGATCTTTCCTCTTCATCTTCACATTGAATCTTCAGAATATAGCCTAGTAACTGCACCACTTGTTTGAAAACACGAAGAGGCGATTACGTCTGTTTAATGTGATCTGCTATAGCCGAGTACTATAGAGTGAAGCCAACTAGCTATCCCGATTAAATATGACTTTTATGACCCGGGGCAGCTTGAATAAGCGCTCGTTCGATTAAATTTACCGAGCACAACGACTTCAATGGAACTCCATATATCAGCGCAACAGCAGGGATTCCCATTGATGCAGTCGCCGAAATTGTTCCAGATTTTGCTGAGAGTCCTCTGATAAACGGCAGTGTTTTGAGTTGGACGAGGACGACTTCTTGGAAGGTTAATTTCACAGGAGCGACCAGCTCGTTCGTTACAGGCTTTTATATCAATGAGAAATGATAAGGATTGAAGTCATAGTCAAAACATATTTCCAATATTGGAGGCAATTTCGGCCAGTAAGACAAAATATAGCACAGTCATTTAGAGATGAGTCAACAATGAGGAATCTATTTCTGTTAATTACTGAAAGGCAGACATGTGTGTCCGTTTATATCCAATTGTTTTTACCGTTCACACAGCAAGTTGTGCTCAGTAGCAAAATAACTTCTGCTGAAATAATATTTATCAACCGTGGAGCACTAGTGTTTTCTCCAGGTTTTCAGGAATTCTGGGACGAATTACCAATAAGGCCCTGAATTCCTCGGAGGAACCTTTTTAGTGCACGGATTTTAACTTCGAGTTGCATTTGAGACTAGCGTCTGGATTTGTCCGTAGACAAGCGCTAAATCGACAGTCAGGCCTTCAGAGTAGTGGATATTCTTCAAAGTGAAGAAACCTGAATAATTCTGCCTCCAAATTTCACAAGGCACGGCAATCTTACCATCATAAACTACTGTGACATTTTGCCTCTGAGCACACGGTGACAACTGGTTTTGTTCAGAGCGTGTAGTCCTTCCAGTAGCTATCATAGCTCGTCTGATACTTCGTCTATTAAAGGTTCCTGTTTGTTTGCTAACATTTAATACTTACTTTCAACCTTTCCATTCACAGTACCTTCCTAGTATGATTGAATTTGAGATACCGTCCCGGACTTGATCTTGTCGTGAAGTCGCTAACTGCTACGATTGGTCCACGTGAGAAGATAGGGATAGTTGGTAGATCGGGAGCAGGTGAGGCGGCGATGATGTGCATACTTGACCGATCTTACTTTGTTTTTGCAGGAAAATCGACTGTAACGCTTGCGCTTTTCCGTGTTATAGAGCCTTCTGAAGGGCGTATCATCATTGACGGAATTGACATCGCGAAGCTGGGTTTACATGATTTGAGAACTCATTTGACAATCATACCACAGGATCCTGTTCTTTTTTCAGGAACTCTCCGGTAAATCACTTTGTTTTTGGAACCGTTAAACATTTCAAAATCACGGCACGTTTCTAGTTTCAACCTGGATCCTTTCGGTAGTTACACAGATAGCGAGTTATGGGATGCTCTTGAAATGGCTAACTTGAAGTCTTTCGCTTCGGAGCAGCAAAACCAATTGAACTGTACAATCATGGAAGGTGGAGAAAATATGAGGTAACCTTATCTTTAAAAACAACTGACGTTCTATGACTATTTGAAAAAAAGCAATTCTTTTGAAGTGTGGGCCAGCGTCAACTAGTGTGCTTGGCCCGCGCACTGCTACGCAAAACACGTGTTCTCGTGCTCGACGAAGCCACGGCCGCAGTGGACATCGGCACAGATGCTCTTATTCAACGTACAATCAAGAGGGAATTCTCTGGCAGCACCGTTCTGACAATTGCTCACAGAATTAGTACGATAATGGACTATGACAGGTTTGCAAAGTAGTTAAATCTCAGAGAGAAGTAAAAGTAAAATCGCGTTAGCGTAATCAACCCGTCAGACAACGAATCTAGCACAGTGACCAAGAAGCAACTCTTTCGATCGAATGGCCTGTAGATGGGATCGCCACCCGGTACTTATCATGCTCTATGATTTGACTGCTTTGCTCGAAATTCTTCGGAACCCTCGAACGAATGTTTCGTCCTCTTTAGCGTTCGTCCTTCCAGATATCTTGAACGAGCACTCTCAAAATGTTCAAGAAGAATGAATTACGCAATAGTTCCAGGTAAAGAGTAGGGTCGAACCTTCAGTAGAGCACATCTCTTGAACACAGATTGTTGTGTTAGGATTGAAGTATTTTTGCCACGATAACCCTCGATGTGACCGCCTGTCTCTCCATCCTCGCACTGAACCAGAAGATTGATCTTTGTGAACTGAGGTTACATTTGCATACGATCAGAACAGCGGTGTGACATTTCACATCTAGATCAACTTGCCAACATTTCAAAGATAAATATGATTATGAGTATCGGTAGAAATTGTGGCTTCAGGTACATTTTTTGTACGAACAAGGACATCTGTATAATTTATCAGAATGGGTCAAGCAAAAGGCACCTCTCACTAAAGAATATTCAGCTGGTTAGCGGCAATCTTATATGTCGGAAGTCTAGAGGCAAATTGCAGTCTAGAAGCTACCATTTACATGCTTCAAGACGCACATGATCTAAAGGGAAAGACTCTTCCTAACTGTTGTGCTGGACGCATTTAGATCTCTATGATCGTGTGCATGCATTTGGACACAATGCTTTGCAGCTGCGTGGCTAGTATTCTGCTGGAAGTTCTCGTTAGATTGATTGCGAACTATAGTACAATACATCAGAAGCGATCCAGAAGTCAACGTAACATCTTATCGTTTATCGTTGAATTTCAAGGCAAGTTGCTAGCAGTCCATCTTGCCTTCACATCAGAGACCGATAAGCTGGGCGGTAGAGGGAAGTGTCTCCCAGATGGTGTTCTGTTATTTCAGAATCAAGTTGACTGGGAATCACTACGATCTCTCCTCCTTTGTCACTGACGGGTAACCTTATGGCTCGATACTTTATTAGTTCTCAAAGTTCTTTAATACCACGTGCTTGCTCCCGTGAAATGTTAGATGTGGCGTTTTGTTTCTGGAACCTACACAGCACCTTAAAAACTTCGTCGGCAAATATCCGGAACTTGGCGTCAGAATCAGTGTGTGGTTCTTGCTGTTTGAAAAACGTGGCTGGAAAGGGAGTGTTCGGATTTTTGCCGACAAAATTTTCAAGGTGCTGTGTAGGTTCCAGGAACAAAACACTACATCTAACATTTCACGGGAGCAAGCACGTGGTATTAAAGAACTTCGAGAACTAATAAAATCTCAAGCCATAGGGTTATCCGTCAGAGGAGGAGAGTTCGTAGGGATTCCCAGACAACTTGATTGTGAAATAACATAACACCATCTGGAAGACACTTCCCTCTACCGCCCAGCTTCTATGAAGGAATTCCAAACGCAGTTTCGAAGGCTGAACCGGGTGTGAGTTTCAGTAGCACGGCTAGCAGGATTAAGTTCAACCTTGATAACGCGGCTTAATTTTGAGTCGCCTTGTTGTCCCGTCCTGTATCTGTTCATAAAGGCACACAAGTTTTTGGATGTAGATGACTTAGCTTCAATCAACCCAACATCCGTGAAAGTCCCATGAGCTGCGTGGGTGGTCCTCCTGACCGGATTGCTTGGCTCCTTAATACCATTTTAGTGCAGCTCCTCAAGTTCACACCTCCCCACCTCATAAACACCCAAATGTTTTTGGGTCGCCTTGGCGCACTGCACCTCAATGATTCGTGCGTTATGGAATCCTTTGATGTAGAAGCTCTCTACACAAATGTCAGCAACGGGTCTACTATGGAAGCCATACTCGAGCTTCTTAGTCAGCACAGAACGATATTGGTATGAGAGGGCTTTCTATATCCTAACTGATGGCACTTGTAAAGGAGTGCCTCAGTTGCAACATTTTCAAGTGGTCGGGGAGATGTTTCGCTCATACCAGAGGCTTAGTTATGGGACAACGATTGGCACCTGTCTTGGCTATAGCACTTATGGCCAAGATTGAAGCGCCTGTACACGAATACCTGCTCTTACTTTACTGCAGGTATATCGACGACTGCTTTATGGTTTGTGCGACACAGAAGGAAATAGATGTGTGTTTTGACCTGCTGAACCCACAATCGAAGCACATTAAGTTAACTCGGGAAAAACCGACCGGCAATTGGCTTCCATTCTCAAATGTTCAAGTGAGGTTACAGGACGATATGATTGTTACGAAGTGGTACAGAAAGCCCAGCAATAAAAACATCATTATACCACGATCGACTTTCTTTTAATCTTGGCATATCCTTTGACTGATATGTATGTAGTTTGCTAAAGCCTTTCCAAGACTATAAACTTTATTGGGCTAATGTTTCGGCGAGATCGCCTTTGTCATAGCCTGAAAAAGTCGAAAAACCACTGAGACAGACTCTATAATAAGGCGAGATAAACCCAAGACAGTTCTCTAGACTAGAGACCCCTCGAACCCGGTATACAAGAAGCTCACCTTGATCTAAATCGTCGGAGCGTTAGATCGACCACCCAGTGTTTACAGTATGCGTACAATGAGCAAGCCTTCCTCCTTTCTGACCTCACCGCAATCTCAAAATTCGCAGAGGTCGAGAAAGGGCGCGAGGTCACGGGTCGCTCTTCCCTACTGTTAAGTTGCGGGTCTCTAGCTGCAATCCAACATGCCTCAAGTGCTTTCCGCGCAGTAGTCTCCGTTTCTAGTGCCAAGACGGTTACTGAAATTGTGAGTTCGTTACCATCGTGGCACAGAACTCGATGCATTCCCAGTGGTGTTTGGGTGCGAGAATCCCTCAGCCACTCCAGGTGTTCTCTGATTCGAGTACGAAGGGGGCGTCCTGTTTCACCAATATATTCAGCACCACAGGCCTGGCAACGAATTTCGTAAATTACTCCTGCTCTCATGCAATCACCCCGTCGATTGGAAGGACACACAAGGCAATCTGGTGTGTCACACAAGACGTCGTATAGGCGATTGCGGACCAGTTGTCGACAAAGTAAAATTGAGGCGTGTTGGGTTGCAGCTAGAGACCCGCAAATTAACAGGAAGGAATAGGGTACGGCCG